TCGCACCCCGCCGGGAGGCGGGCGTTGACCGCCGCCGGTCCCCAGGCCCCAGCCCCCGGCGGGGAGGTCCGCGCCGCTCCTGGAGCTCTCGAAGGAGCAGCAGCCGCTCAGAAAGTGGCAAGGCCAGTGGCTTTCCCATCCCGTCTAATGACTCTTCCTTCCTCCCTCTTTTTTCTCCCCGGTGTCTGCATGCCTTATTTCAGTAGGGTGCCCAGAGAATAGCATCTCACAAACTAGGTGTTTAGTCATCTTGATGCCGACGCTTCTGTGATACAGCTACACATTTCTGACCAAACTCAGCAAATAGAGGGTGGGAGAGGCCAAAGTACCAAAACAGTGCAGGGGGACTCTAAGGAGTCACTGAGCCCGTCCCTGGGCAGCTGTGGGGCTGCTGCCTCTCTCAGCGATGCTGTGAGGGGTAACAGGCTCTCAGCTCTCCCTTGGGAACCCCTCCGAGAGCTGGGCCGGTGGCTGGGAGGCGAGGGTGAGCGTGTGCCCTGATTTACAGCCAGCGCCATTCAGGAGAAGTTGGTGGGTTCTTTGCCAGGCAGGTGTTGTGAAGCTGATGGTGCTTGTGATAGAATCGGTGGCGCAATGCTCGAGTCAGATCTTGCGTGGCTTTCATTGGGCGAAGAACGCTGAAGGCTTTGGTGGGATTCGTTCCCGTGAGGGGTGGCGGTTCATAAAGCATGAACTGCTGAATTCCCCCCCAGAAAACTGATCAGTTTGACATGCACGTGTCGAACAAGGGAGTGGTTAAATACTATCTGTGCATTACATAACCGTAAAGAAAAGGACGCTGTAGTTGTTCAGTGTAAATAGAGATTGGGCATCTTAACCACACGCCTCCTATTGCTTCATGTAAATTCTTGATCTTACATGCTGCCTGGTTGAAATTTGTTTGAATCTGCATCTGGCATGCGTTAGTTCCCTTCTCCCTGAAGAGGAGAAACCAAACAGGTGCCAAACTGGTTTGGAAAAGTTTGGGTAACTGTAAGGAGGGTGGTTTCGAGCTGGCTGCAGGCGTTTCCTGCTGATTGCGAGAAAGAGACAGAGACCTAAGTCAGCTCCTGAAAACTGGCACATCTGCGTGCTGCGCTAGTGTGGTAGCTTTGTGAGGAGAGCTCAGAACCTTGTCTTACGTTTGTGCTTTTTTGGCCATTTGGAACAAATACTTGCGTGCTTAAGCAGCCTTTGAGATGGTACATAGTTAAGCAAGTGAACTTTGGGAAGTTGGGATGGCTGTAGTTATGTCATATTTGTCCATCACATTCTTACTTGTTGCTTTGAGGCACGTTTTTACAAGCATTGATAAATGAAATACTGGAGGATTCCCTAGATGAAATTAAACATGAATATTTCCCTGTCTGCTTTACATTGGCTTAGTACACTTGTTTATCGGTAGTGTTATTAAACTACAGCTTGACTAAGGGGACTGTGTGAAAACAATGCCTTCCCATATCTGTTCTCTGGGAATCTTAAGTTGTGCTTTTATAGTGATGAATGTCTGAGTTGTTTGTAATTACATTTAGTGGTGCAGAGACAAAATAATTACAGGGGATGAAGCTGAATTTTGCTTTGCTTTAAGCATCAACTATGTTCACGTTACTAACAATAGCAGACTGCTATTAAAGAGGCGGAAGAAAACTTTGATTTTTTTTCATGGGATCCTAGTTTGAATTTTCAAGGCAGACCATCAGAAAATACCTTTTTCCTGTTCACCTTTCACTTGATGCAGAATAAAGCTTTTGAGTGTTAGTGGTTTTTACAAGTGCACCCTTGTTTGTATATTCATATAAACACAAACCTTTGCTAAGGTGTACAGGAAACTTCCTCAGTGACTAAAACTGATCAATCACAAGAAAAAAGAGAAATACTTGAAAATTAAACAGTTCTTTTTATTGAGAAAATATGCTCATATTCTTACAGGTGTAAAGTAATAAACTGAACCTTCAGTTTATTAACAGAGGAAGACAAAGTTATTTTAATCAGATGATAATGAAAACTCAGTGTTGTACATGTTAACTACTGGCAGTGTAAAAAGACTGCCTAGGCTTAATTTGCTTTGATTTAACCACACAAACGTATTAATGGAATGAAAAAAATGAGAACCTCTATGCCAGTTTTTGAAGAATCAGCTCTCTCTTCTCCAAAAGAGAAGAAAAAAATAATCTCTTTTAGTTTAGGTTTTATTTACCTAGGTAATTTAGACATTGGAGTGATACGTGCTACAGAATTACGCAAATGAGGGAGAGAGAGGAAGAAGAATTAATCACACGAGAGAGCTTCATCAGCATCCTTTGGGTGGATATTTGAAAAAAAGCAATGCATTTTCTTTAAGTTACATAACTGAAGATTATGGAAAATGCATGCAGAACAAATAGATTTTGTTTTCCTTAGTTTGCAGATCCTTTTAATTTTAGGCTGAGTTGTTAAAGGATTGCTTGTCGAGTCATATGCCAGGTAGGAACTGTGTTGAGAAGTTGTCAGAGTTCAGTGGGGAGAGTGTCGGAGCTGTACTTCCCTACGCAGGAGACTGTATTTCGGTCAACAGATGTGCTTACGTTTGGCTGTCTATCTCCCAGCAAGCCCAGCAGCTGAATGTTTTGACATTTAACCACTACTGGTGCTGTTATGCCTTTCCAGCAGTCCATCGTCAGGGGACATTAAAGTATTACAGGAACCACACCGCCGTTCTGCGGAAGATGCCAAATGCCTTCATAAGATTTGCTGCAATAGTGAAGTATTAAGAGCTTGAAAAAAAATTGCAATGACAGAATGCATTTTTTTGTCTTTTCAATTTAGATATTAGTATTTTTTTTTCCTTCAGAAGGATATTTGCTTCAAAGCAAATTCTTTTAAAAGTACAGTACCTGTCTTAATATTAACAAACTTCATAATGCATGAATCAGTTGATATTCTGGGAATATGGGATCATATCAAGTATGTTGCAGATACTAAACGATTTGTAGGGGGAGTTTTTATTTTTAAAGAAAAGTGTTTTGATCTCCCTCAGATTTTAGAAGAGTTTTTGTAAATGTCAAACAGGTGTTGCTATCCACTCTGATTTCACATTTCAGAAAAAAGACAGATTTATTGAAAGAGCAACCATGTGGAAGAAGCTGAGTTTCAAAACAGGAAATAGGACATGAAAATACTACGTGTGAAAAGCTTAAATTCTGATATTAGTTAAACTGCTTCTTCCCACAGGAACCGTAGGCTGTAAACAAGTGCAGCTCCCAACAAGTCCTCCACTGTGACAATGACAGACTTGATGAGAATGAATTTCAGCTTTTGTTTCAAAAACTTTGGAAGGAGAATGGCTTTGTCTCAGTGAGTTGCTAGTCTCTTTCAAAAGTGAAGTAAAATGCCTAAAAATTATTCTTTCTGCAGTGTTTCGTAGGAGACTGGCACTTGTTATCCAGCAAGTTCACAGATTTTTTTTTTTTTTAAAGCCTATTGGAAGCAAGTAACTAGAGGAATGTAATTATATTATTATTATTGTTGTTGCTATTATTATTATTATTATTAATCATCATCATCTGCATTGGGAGGAGGCCTAATGTTAAGTTTCTTTCATAACTGTGGGTTGAATACATGGAAATGTTCTGATATAGTTATTAATAACTGTCTTAGTGTATTTAAGCTTGTAACTGTTACACGATTTGAGCAGAGACTATTCTTTTTATCTTGCCTGCAATAATCTTCCTCCCACTTAGCAAAATTAAATACAGTATTAAG